TGAAGACCTCGCCCACGGATTCTGAACTCCCTACACAAACCAGTGATGGCACGTCTTTGGTCACTGCAGAGGGTACAGTATCGTCAGATCAGACTGAAGAGCATGTTGCAGAAGAACGCCCTCCACTCGTATCTCTTCATGCCTCTCACGTTCCGCCTACGTCTCCTGAGTCCCAAGTACCAGAAGATGTGCCGATGCCAACATACTATAGCGATATGGTTGCGAGATACGAGACCAAGATCCTCTCAGCTTCTCCGTTCGTCAAGTTTGCTCAGCCTTACTTGCTCATGAAGGCGCGAGAGCAAGAACGGAGATTGGTTTACTTGAAACGGCTGAGGGATCAAGATGTTGTTGAGGAACAGATTGACGCCGAGAAGTCAAAGTCACAAAAGTTCCAGCTCATTAAGCCTGAAATGGTCCACGCTATCGGGCAGAAGGCGCCTCGCCAAGTTATGGAAATTTTGCACGCCGTGCATGATGCCGAATATGACAAGGCGCTTTACAACTACCAGGTCCAGACCCGGCAATGGGAAAACTACATCCAGGGCAATCTCGACCTTTTCGATCCCTATTCTCACCAGAATATTGTCGTTCTGTACTCAGTCATCTGTACAGAGACCAAAATTCCGTGCTCAGAGCCCGGGCTGATTGCAATTGCGTTTTACGATGAGCATGTCGACGAGAGCGGAAGCATGGATCCGGATTGCACTCTCGGTCAGTACATTGAAGACCTATGCATCAGTAAGGACTCGATATGCACAGCCAATGGCTGTGACCGGAAGATGACGGCGCATCATCGCACCTACGTCCATGATGAGTCACGAGTCACTATTTTCGTTGAGCCGGCGGCCAAAAGACGCAACTTGGATGGTATCACTATGTGGAGCTACTGCAAAACATGCAAGAAGGATTCTCCTGAGATGGGAATGTCTGACAGCACATGGAAATATTCTTTTGGCAAGTACCTTGAGCTTCTCTTTTGGAGCAGGGGCCTGCGGCTTCACGAATTCTCTGGGTGCCCGCACGACCATCACCGCGACCATATCCGGTACTTCCATTACCGTGACACCTGGGTAAGGATCCATTACGATCCCATCGATCTTCTCGAAATTGTCGTCCCCCGAGCTCGGATTACGTGGAAGGTCGAAAATGACCTCAAGCTCAAGAATGAGATCTTCAACAAGATTGAGGAACGATGGGTCCGCTTCATCAACTCTGTCAAGTTCAGGATCAAAAGCATCCGCATCGACAGCGTTCTGCCTGAAAAAGCCGATGCGTGTAAGACCGAAGTCGACCGACTTGCCAAAAAAGCCCAGGATGACCAAGTCGCATTGACCCGCAGACTTCAGGAAACTTACGTCAATTCCAAGTATTACGAAGTCATTCCGTTCAATGCCATTGTCAGAGAGATGCTGGAAAAGGCTGGCGATTGGGATGCTTCTTTCACTAAATTCGAGACCGATTTTCTGCCGGACAAAGATTTGCGCCAGTTGACGATGCTTCAGCTCAAGAAGATCTTCTCGGACAACGAATCGAGAGAGTCTCTTCCCTCCACCGACGGTAACTCCACCGTAGACTCCGGGGAACCTCCATCTCAAACTTTCTCAGATGATGCTGATGAGAAGTCTTCGACTCAACCAACCGACCCAACTGAACCTAGCGAGGAAGGTGCCTCGGAGACGACCAAGAACGAAGGCGATCCAGAGAATGAGCCTGAAGAGCTCAAAGAAAAGGAGCCAATTCCAGAACCGGAGCCATCCCAAGAGCAAGAATCTGGACCCGGTTTGAAGGACAAGCCTGCTACCGGAGACGAGAATCCTGAGTCCTCAGAGACGAGCAAAATTAGTACACCGGCTGAATCCGTACTGGAAAGAGTCGAGCCTCTGGATCTGGCTACTCCAAGCTCGCCAAAAGGGAAGAATCCTTTCTCTTTTGCTGCCATTGATGAAGCTGGAGAGACCTCGAGTGATTCGGGTGCTATCGAGCCAACTTCACCAACTACCAGACCTCCACTCACTACGACCTCCACAGGGATTTCTCTTTCAGAAAAAGTCGAGCAGCTTCGACGTGAGCAACAGGTCATGGGTAACGAAACGCCCTTGGCCAACGAGCCCGCTGAGGCACCGAAAGCAAATCCGGAGCGTACTTTGGCTCGCAGGGCTCCGATGATTAGAACTCTATCTCAGCCCGCCCAAACGTTACCAAGATCGCAGTCAAGCTTTGCCAAGTCAATCTTGCCAAAGGATGGCGCAGGGCCCAGCGAAAATTCCAGCGAGGCATCCTTCAAAGTGGAAAAGAAACCGTTTGATCGGCTGGCGTTGGGGATGAAGAGCCATAGAAAGGCCGGCCCCTCCTCAATCCCTCGGCTAATCACGAAGAAGAAGGATACGCACGTGTCGTCTCAGGTATCTAGGATTGCCAAGCACTTTGAACAACTGAGTCGCGAATTCGAGAAGGAAAGGCAAAGGGAAGATCGCAGAAAGCGCCTAGCGAAACATCAACCTCGTGCCGGTCTGCCACGCTCAGCAACTAAGGCCATTGTGGAGGTCTATCACAACATTGACAATGCCGTCCAGGAGGCCGGGCCGTCAAACACTGAACAAAACAATGAGATCAAGATTCTCGAGCCAAAGACTGCACCCGTAACCCCAGCACCTCCAGGTGTTGTGCATACGGAACCCGACACAATGCCGCCTACGGGAGAGTCACAGCCTGTAACAGAAGCTCCGGCCGCATCTGAAGAGCACCACGTTGGCGGAGAGACTGACGACACTGCGACGGTTACTGCCAGCCACGGTGGATCGGACGACGAAGGGCAAAGCGACAACGAAGAATCCATACTAGGCGACTTGCTGCCCGATGTGAAGGAGCTTGCAGACTCACTTGAGCCCAGCACCGAGATTCCGTTGGAACTACCCAAGCATCAAAAGACTAGCTTGATGAAGATGCTTACAAACTTCTGGGCCGAGCGATCTGCGAGTGGCTGGCCTCAGTTGGATTACCCGGTCAATGCCAGCGATCATATTTTCCTCGACTCGGACGTGATTGTACGAGAGGACGAGCCTTCCTCCGTTATTGCCTTTGCGCTAAGCTCTGATGACTATCGCACGAAGCTGGCTGATATCCGCCGTCAAGAGCGGATGGCCATACAAAAGGACTATGAGACATCAAATCTCGAGGGCAAGTCTTCTGGTATGTCTGACACTGGTGGTGAGTTCATGATGGAAGAGGGCGACCTAGAGAAGAGTCTGCTCAGAGCCACGGGTACCCATCTCAAGTATCAATTCAAGGAAGGTTCTGCGACAATGCTCTGCAAGATCTTCTATGCCGAGCAATTCGATGCGCTTCGCCGGAAGTGCGGTGTTGCAGATCGCATTGTCGAGTCTCTTTCCCGCTGCCTGAAGTGGGACTCGAAGGGCGGGAAAACGAAGTCGGTCTTTCTCAAGACTCTGGATGATCGACTGGTACTCAAGGTAAGACGGTGCTCCATTCGCTGTGTTCCCGTGCTCCAGATCATGAGTTAACGTACATGCAGGGCTTGTCGCCGATTGAGACGTCGGCTTTCCTTCGATTCGCTCCAGCCTACTTCGGCATCATGGCAGAGGCTCTGTTCCATGATTTGCCTTCTGTCATTGCCAAGATGCTAGGTTTCTTCCAACTGATTATCAAAAATCCAGTCACTGGCGTTGAGATCAAGCTAGACCTTCTTTTGATGGAGAATCTCTTCTACGATCGTGGCCCGACCCGTCTTTTCGACTTGAAGGGATCAATGCGCAATCGCAAAATCCAGTCCACAGGCGAGCAGAACGAGGTGCTTCTTGACGAGAACATGGTTGAATTTATCTACGAATCTCCTTTGTTCGCGCGCGAGCATTCCAAGAAGCTACTGAGAGCATCCGTAAGTTCCCGAGCAAGGCATTAGAAGCCGCATACTAACAAAAGGGCAGGTATGGAACGACACCCTGTTCCTCGCAAGGCAGAACGTGATGGACTACTCATTGATGATCGCCGTGGACGAAGCTAAGAAGGAGTTGGTTGTTGGTATCATTGACTGTATCCGGACGTACACATGGGACAAGAAACTCGAGAGTTGGATCAAAGATCGAGGATTTGCTGGCGGTGGCAGAAATCGCCCGACAGTGACCAGTCCCAAGGAATACAAGTCTCGTTTCCGGGAGGCGATGGCCAGGTATGTTCTTGACAGATATCTTCGACAGGCTTCTCCCGGTCATCGGCTAATACGCTATGCAGGTATATACTCCAAGCACCAAATTGCTGGCATCAGTTCGGCGTGCCTCAACTCAACAACACCATGAGGCCACGGTTCGAATCAGATGCAAAGGCCGATTGAACCTCCGGCCAACCATGAGCATTACCTGCCAATGGTTACTCGACTGTAATTAAATGAACTTTTGTAGCACCGAGAGAGAGAGAAGAGAGCATTGCATTGCCGGCGTTTTCCTTCAACAAGGATGAATGGATTGATGATTATGGAGGTATTCTAGTCTTAGGGAGTGGACGGAAGTATTAGAGTCCGCAAAAAGAAATGACCTAAAGTAGCATCATGGCGTCGATGAATCACGGCCTTTCCAATACAAATACCCTCTAATGGCACATAAACGAATGATGAAGCCCCCCACGATAATTGAGCAGGCGTGGTGAGAGATCTATCAGGCAGTAAGGCCATGAGCATTGCCTCATGTTATCCACGGGTTCAAGTATACCTGTGGAAACGAGCAACTCGGTCCACCAGAAAGCCAATTTAGCGCAACATGCTGCCGTTACCACCCCACCAAGCCCGTGCCTTGCCACCTGGAGGTCACTGAGCCCCAGCACTAGGTAGACAATGGCTTTAGAGAATCTACAGTGGAGGGTAAGGTATCCATCATCGACCCTGTGTGCACACTGCCTTGCGCACCTCACCTGAGTTCACTACCTCGTTTGATCAACAACTCAGTCCTCACTTATCTTTCCTCTTGTCACACAAGACCACAGCTCTAATGTCAATAGACCTCAACTGGGAGACGCTCACGACGGGCCCCGACGGAGAAGCTCTCGCCCTCCGCATCCGCGACTTCATTCACACCAAATTCCAGGCTGTGCCGTTGCCGCGCTTCATCAAGTCCGTCAAAGTACACGACTTTGAGTTCGGCACCATCGCCCCCGAACTAGAACTTAAGGACATCACCGACCCGCTACCAGAATTCTACGAGGAAAACTCCGACATTGAGGATGACGAGGAAGAGGAGCAGGCCATCCTCGAGGAGCAGGCACAGCAGCAGCAGCATGGGCCCAGGAGTCAGCTGAGCGCCGGCGAGAGGAGGAGGCAGAGGGAGGAGGCGTCGATGCCGCCGAGGCTGAGCACGCACGCGCTCCGTGGCCAGTCTGGGGACTTCCCCAGCCCGTTTCTGGGTGTATCGACGCCGGGGATTCTCGGCGGGACGTCGAACCTGCATTATTTCCAGTCGCACCTGGGCACCGGCTGGTCGGGCACGCAGACGCCCCTCGCCGCGGTGGCGGGCGCGCACATGGGCAACAGGCTGGACACCTCGGCCGTGCTTTCGCCTGTCGGCTCGCCGCCACCGAACGGATTTTCCTCGCCGAGCCACAGCCGGAACCCCTCGCAGAGTTCCATCTCCGTGAGCGACTTCAACCCGGCGCTGGCGCAGCTGAGAGAAAAGTCGAGTGTGTCGACGCTGGCGCCCACGTCGGCGGGTGCGTCGAGGCCGCCGACGCGGGACACACACCTCGCGGGGTCGGCGATCCAGGAGGAGGACGAGGAGGTGCTGCCGGAAGACGAAGACGACAGCAACAACAACGCGCCGCGGTTCCGGGAGCCGAGGCCCGAGGACCTGCAGGCCGTGTTCCGCATACGGTACGCCGGCGACGTGAGGCTGCGCCTGACGGCGGAGATTTTGCTCGACTACCCGATGCCGAGCTTCGTAGGGATCCCCGTGCAGCTCAGCGTCACGGGCCTCACGTTTGACGGCGTCGGCGTGATGGCGCATATCCGGAAGAGGGTGCAATTTTGCTTCCTGAGCCCCGAGGACGCGGTCACGGCCGTGGGCGCGGACGACGCGGGCCCCAGCGAGCCGGGCAAGAGGTTCGGCGGCTTGCTGCAGGAGATCCAGGTCGAGAGCGAGATTGGCCTCCGGGACGGGGGCAAGCAAAGCTTGAAGAATGTGGGCAAGGTCGAGAGGTTCGTGCTGGAGCAGGTGAGGCGGATATTCGAGAATGAGTTTGTGTATCCCAGCTTCTGGACATTCTTGGTTTAGGAAGATGAATGGGTTTGGATGGGGCGGGGTGGTTGATCGACCTGGCGTTCTTTACGAGGTATGACATGCATTCTTCATAGGCACAAGGAAAAAAAGTAAAACGGCTGGTTTAAAATCAAGAGCTGGTGGGATTCGCTTTGCATTGGTATCTATCAACAAGGAAGAACAGGATATTCCTCTCAACATACACTTCTCCTCTTTCGAAACCTTCCACCTTTTTGTTTACGTGAGAGTACTCTTGAACCCCTGGTAAGCCTGCTGAATGTCCATCTCGAGCTCGCGAGCCTGCTGCTCGCTCAGCTCGTCCGTGGCCTTCATCTGATTCAGCGTGATGAGCCACTGCACAATCTTGCCCCTGCTGTCAAAGTCGCGGTCGGTGACCTTGTTGACGGACTGGATGACGTCGGAGAGCAAGGGGTGCAGCTGATCCTTGGAGAGCAGGCCCAGCTTGACGGCGTCGAGGAAGGTGATGAACTCCTGCGTCGCTTCCAGAATGAGCGTGCCGCTCGTATTACCGGCGGCCGTAGGAGCCGGAGCAGCGCTTGATGAGGCTGTCACGGTTGTCGAGGGCATGCCGACGCGGATGCGCTCTGTTGCGCGAGGGACTTCGAGCTGTTGTAGGAAGTGAGCGACATGGTCAGCAACGTGTGCGATACTGGCTGCTATAGAGAAGTGGTAGACGAACATCCCATTCTGCCTTGAATTCCTCCAAGCCCACAAAGGCTTTTGCCACGGTCTCGTCTGCTAAAATGGACTTGTACTGCTTCAGGGAGCGCTCGCAGATCTCGGTGTAATCGGCCTCAAGGATCGCATCTTTCAGGAAAGCCTTTTCGAGCTCGTCGAGAGTGACAATAATGCTAAAGATCTCGGCGAGCGAGTCTTGCAGGTCGCGCTCGGCGCGTGTGTCGGCTAGCTTCACCTCCTGTTGTGACGCATCGTCATGTTAGCTGGATGTTTGCCTGCGGGGGCGGGGCAGCTATTGGAGGGGATGACGGTGACGGTGATTGGGCTTAATTAACTTGCCTCATCGAGATTGATGGTTGCCGATAGTGTGGTATTGGGAATATAGCTATGCGGTGTCGGCGCATAGGGTTGCCGGGGGATCATCTTCGCAGCTGTGCTTGGATCGTGGTCGGCTTCATGGTCGTCAGACAGCTTTTGAGCTGTCGTTGGAGCTCTCAGGTAGCAAGTGGTGGTGCAGACAGGTGTGTCGCAGAGCCACAGTCAAGGACGTAAGACACGGGTGTGCAGGTTCCCAGGCCCAAGGTAGAACGTGGGGCAACCTTTGAGGAACCAGTACCAAAGGTGGCTTAGCGCGGTTTTCTGATAAGATAAGCGTTCAGAAAAAATTTGGACGGACGCCATGCAGTTGCTGCCATTGAGAAAGTCTCGAGGTTCCCGCGTCCACTTCCCAGAGTCCCTGCAGCCAAAACTTCACTCTTACCCCCCTCCAAACCACTGGACCGAATAACCCCGGCTCCATACTCCATCATGGGTTCCCAGAAGAAGAACCTCAAGGCGACCAAGAAGTTTGAAAAGAACAAGCTCAAGGGTGTCTTGGACAAGAGGAAGGAGACGGCGAAGATCAAGCAGCGCCACCAGGTCAAGGCCAAGAAGGCGACCAAGAAGACCAAGGATTCCGAATTCTTCAAGAATGACGAGGCCGCTGCCAAGGCAAAGGCCAATGGCCACAAGAAGGACACCAAGGTCAGCGCCATGAGTGTCGACGACTTCTTCCAGGGCGGCTTCGAGGAAATCATCGATAAGAAGGACAAGAATGCGACAAAGAAGCTCGGCAAGAGGAAGCGCGATGGGCCCGCCAAGCAGTCAGAGGAAGAGGACTCTGAAGAGGAGGGCAGCGGCTCGGAATTCTCCGTCGAGGAGGAGCCCATTGGAAGCGACAGCGAAGACGGCGAGGGCGATGAGGACGACGAGAACCTTGGCATGACCAAGGAAGCCATGGACAAGCTCGCCCAGAACGACCCCGAATTCTACAAGTTCCTCAAGGAAAACGACCCGGAGGCCCTCGACTTTGACGAGAACGCAGACCTTGCTGAAGTAGACGAGCTTAGCGCCGGCAGCGATCAGTCCGACGATGACGAGGAGGAACAACCGAAGAAGAAGCGCAAGAAGGCTTCCAAAAAGGCCGAGATCGAGGAGGTCGTCGCTGCGGACAATGAGCTGACGCGCGAGATGGTGGGCAAGTGGAAGAAGCTTCTCGCTGAGAAGCAGAGCTTGCGTGCTGCCCGTCAGGTTGTCCTGGCTTTCCGCTGCGCCGCCCATCTCAACGAGGACGACGCCGACGACTCGACCCCACAGAGATACACCATCTCCAGCCCCGAGGTCTTCCACGACATCTTGATCGTTGCCTTGAAGCAAATACCCGAGATTATCTCGCACCACTTGCCCATCAAGGAGTCTGCGTCTGGCAAGATCTACGTGCCTACCGATTCGAAAAAGTTCCACACCCTGTCCATCATGATCAAGACCTTCACTGCGTCCATTATTCACCTTCTCGGCACGCTGTCCGACGATGCTACTCTCAAGCTCACCATTGGCTCATTAGAGCCCCTCGTCCCCTACCTCATGTCCTTCCGCAAGCTTCTCAAGGCTCTCATCAAGACTGTTGTCAACTACTGGGCCAGACCCGCCAGTTCAGAAACGACAAAGATCACTTCTTTCCTGGTCCTGCGGAAACTCGTCGTTATCGGCGACAAGGGCCTTCGCGAGACTGTTCTCAAGACGGTGTACCAGGGACTCGTCTCCGGTTGCAGGACAACAAACGCCAACACCATCCAGGGCATCAACCTGTTGAAGAACTCCGCTGCTGAGCTTTGGGGCATTGACCAAAACGTCGGTTACACCACGGCCTTCACCTTTATCCGCCAACTCGCCATTCACCTCAGAAATAGCATCGTCAAGAAGGAGAAGGACGCCCATAAGATCATCTACAACTGGCAATACACCCACTCGCTCGACTTCTGGTCATGCGTGCTTGCAGAGCACTGCAGCCCCCTGAAGGAGGCGGAGACTGGCAAGGAGGGACAGCTCAAGCTCCTGATCTATCCCCTTGTGCAAGTGACTCTGGGAGCGATGCGCCTTATCCCCTCGCCGACTTTCTTCCCCCTGCGGTTCCACCTCATCCGCTCCATCCTTCGTCTTTCCCGCGCTACCAACACCTACATTCCTCTCGCTTCAGCTCTGATTGAGGTTCTCGAGTCTGCCGACATGAGAAGGTTCCCCAAGGCCTCGTCCATCAAGCCTCTCGACTTCCACGTTGCCTACAAGGCACCTAAGTCATACCTCCGCACGCGTGTTTACCAGGACGGTGTCGCCGAGCAGGTCGTTGAGCTCTTAAGCGAATACTTCACCATCTGGTGCAAGAACATTGCCTTCCCCGAGTTCACCCTTCCCGTTCTCATTCAACTGAAGCGCTGGCTCAAGGGAGCGCGCAAGATTAAGACGGGCAACAAGAACAACAAGGTCATTTCGCAGATTGTGCTGCTGGTGCAGAAGCTCGAGACCAACGCCAAGTTCATCGAGGAGAAGCGTGCGAAGGTGGAGTTCGCGCCTAAGGATCGCGCGCAGGTGGATGCCTTCCTTCGCGACTTTGAGTGGGAGAAGACGCCCCTCGGCGCATACGTTGTCGTGCAGCGCAAGATTAGAGAGCAGAAGGCCAAGGCGCTCGAGGATGCGAGGAAAGAGGACGAGAAGAAGCGTAAGCAGGAGGAGAAGGATGCGGTTGCGGAGAACGCCGCAGACGACGACTCTGAGGAGGAATACGCCGACGAGTTGATGGACGACGAGGCCGAGGATGACGATGAGATCGAGGAGGATGAGGAGGAGGAGAATGAAGATGACGATATGGAAGACGACGAGTAGGTTGCGGATTTTGAGGAAGATCTGAGATGCAAAAGTGTTTTTAGGGCGTAATCCAAATACGCTGGTGTTAGGTTATATCATGGAGGCATTTGCGAATAATCCGGAGGCTTGTAGCCCTCAAATCTAGCGTCCTCGTTGCACCACTCTGCGTCTCCTATATTGAATACTGCTCTACTGTTACAATCATGTCTCATACACTTGGCCATCGCTGGTCTAGACTGAAAGAGAATCGGCCTGCTTGCAAGCCGTTTGCAGATGAAATATACCCTGGGAACATTTACACATGGATGATGCAAGGATGGAGACTGGAAATTAGCACGGACCGGACACTGAGACCGCCTTTTGCTGGGGAAGGATTTGGGGGCTTACATCAACACCTAAACTCCGGTAAGATGTGCAACTGTAGGGAATCTCTGTGCGGCGGCACAGGCAGCTGAGAGTCCCTGTTGATCTTTCCGATAGACGTCTGCCTAACTTCAGATCAACCCGACACCTAATGCACATTCTCCTCACCTCAGGTGACTCGACTACATCTCTTCTCACGTGTCCTTGCTTTTACATCTTACCCGCCTCTTACCTCAACTTGTTATTCCTCAAGATTGCTGTTTGATACCGAAGCACACCTCTCTTATCCGGTCACCTCCCCATCAATAAGTCTCATCGGATGCGGTGAGCCCATCGCAATCATGGCTCCCCTGGCCGCAGACCCCCGCCAGCTCGTGGTGGTCCTTAACCCGGCTCGCCGCAAAGCGTTCTATACCCTCCTCTTCGATATCACGGGCTACATGCGCTCGCAGCTCGAGCTCAAAGACGGCGGCGACCAAGCAGCAGATTCCAGCGGCAATCCGGCATCGCCGTCACTCCAGGAGAGGAACGCCCCGCTCTTCGTCCGGGACCGCGGCGACGGACGCAGCAGCAGCCCCAGCCACCCGGACCGCGGCGGTTCCGGCGTGCACAGCGCTCAGCTGCGGGCCCTGAGGAGGGCGGCGCTCAAGCACTTTGACGGGTGGCGGAAGGAGGTCCTCGAGAAGGTCAAGGGAATTGTCTCGGTTAAGGACGATGACAAGATCCTCGAGGCCAGGAAGAAGCGCTTAGATGAGCAGGAGAAGCTGAACGCAGAGTCTCCCGGCGTCGGAGAGGATTTGATCAACTTTGGAGATGCTTCTCAGACTGCTTCTTCTTCTTCTCCGGCGGCGAACAAGGTCGACGAGGAGGTGGCCGCACTGCAGGAGCATTACCATCCCATTCCGAGCCGGTTCACCACGATCCCGGCGAATGATAGGAAAGAGGTGCTAAGCTGCCTCTTGGTTCTCATCTTGTCTACCGGTTGCTACTCAGCACACTCCAGAGTCTTGGCCCTGTATCTCACGTCCGCCTTCGGTCTGCCTCTCTCGGCCCTCATCGCCGAGGAGACGGAAATCGCAAAGTCTCTGGTTGAATCTGCGACCTCTTCCGAAGGTCAAAAGGCCACCATGTCCGCCGAGGCCGAGGCCGCGAAGCGACGACAAGAGAACCAAAAGAGCCGTTTCTGGAAAGTCGGCCTAGCCTCCGTGGCAGGCGCCGCCGTCATCGGCATCACGGGTGGTCTCGCGGCCCCTGTGGTCGCCGGCGCCATCGGCGGCATCATGGGCAGCGTCGGCCTGGGAGGCGTCGCGAGCTTTCTCGGCATTTTTTTGGATGAATGGCGCGCTGGTCGGGACCCTTTTTGGGGCGTTTGGAGCCAAGATGACGGGCGAGATGATGGATACCTACGCCAAGGAGGTGGAAGACTTCCGCTTCCTCCCGCTCAAGGACGAATGGGGCCAGGACTATAAACGCGCTGACCCGGACGGCAAGCAGGGTGCCCGCCTCCGCGTGACGATTGGCATCAACGGCTGGCTGAATGACGAGGGCGATGTGACGAAGCCGTGGCGCAGCTTGGGTGATGAGTCCGAAGTCTTTGCCTTGCGCTACGAGATGAAGTCACTTCTCGCCCTCGGTGCTGAGCTCGAGGGTCTCGTCTCGTCGTACGCGTGGAACTATGTAAAGATTGAGATCCTCAAGCGCACTGTCCTTGCTTCGCTCTGGGCTGCTCTGTGGCCCGCCTACCTCATCAGCGCCGCTTCAAAGATTGACAACCCCTTCAACCTGGCCCGCAACCGTTCAGACAAGGCCGGTCGCGTTCTCGCTGATGCTCTCATCGCCAAGGTCCAGGGAGAAAGACCCGTGACTCTGGTCGGATATTCGCTCGGCGCTCGCGTCATCTACTCTTGTCTGCGATCACTCGCTGAACGTCAGGCTTTCGGGCTAGTCGACACCGTGGTGCTCATCGGTGCCCCCGTGCCGTCCAACCGGGAGCACTGGCAGGTCCTGCGGTCCGTGGTGTCGGGCCGCATCGTCAACGTGTACTCGGAAACGGACTACATTCTCGGCTTCTTATACCGTACCACCTCTCTCCAGCTAGGCATCGCAGGTCTCCAGGAAGTCAAGGACATTGAAAGAGTCGAGAACCTGAACCTCAGCGCAGAAGTCAGCGGGCACCTCCGCTACCCGAGCTTGATCGCCAAGATCCTGACACGATGCGGATTCCCGAATGTCAAGGGCGGCGAGGGCGTTATAGAAAAGGACGAAGACCTAGATATCAAGATTACGGATGAGGAGGCGGGTTCGCAGATGGGCGAGCTTATCCAGCTCGAGGCGCAACCTGATCCGGAGTCGGAGCCGCAGCCGATCAGATCCAAGCAGACCGCCAGGTTCCCGAACGAGCTGCGTCACCCGTTACATCCTGACCCACCTGAACAGAAGAAGAAAAAGAACCCGAACCGGAACAAGGTCTCTAGATCTGGTGGTGCAACCGTTTCGGGGTCTTTCGATCCTTTGGGAGGCGGAGGCGGCGACCCCTTGAACCTGAGAAGTCTTGGCCAGGCAAAGCAGGGACCGCGGTCGCCTCACCACGAGGAGCTCCGTAGTCTAGGCTCTCCACCTCCTGAGAAACAAGAGGCGAGGAGCGCTCAGCCTGCTGATCCCCTGAATCTCAGGGCTCTGGGGGCAAAGAACGAAAACCCAGTTCCTACTGCTGTCGAAAATGATCCAAGTCAGCCGGGCAAAGAACCAGAGCTTCCTCCCAGGCCTTCTGCCATCCACTCGTTCCAGAGCGATGGTGCTATAGACTTGCACCGCCGTCCGGGACTGCCAATCAGGCCCAAGACCTTCCCTGTTCCTGTTCAAGAGGAAGAGGATGATGATAGCGATGACGAGAGCTTCAAGGGAATTCAGCTGGTTGACAATGAAGACATGACGAGTTACTCGGAGCCCTTGAGGGCGGACGACTAGACCAGATGCAGAACAGAGATAATGCGCCAAGTTGGCCGTTCAATAGGAATACAGTACTTCTTAAGCAAGGACATTCTAATTCCACGTCAAACCCTTCCAATTTCAATCAATGCGGCTAAACTTATACTTCTTTGGGGTATTCATGTCTCATGGGTATCTATAAAGTTTTATAAGAACGGTTATCCTATGAGCTGTAAAACAACTTGGCTATGGAAATTGGTTAATCCTCTTAGATAACTGAGCGTTGCCTATTTAAGTTCGCTCCCCACGCAGAGACTTGTACCTCCTCTTTAGCAGACTCAAGCTCGTTGAGATATCCAATGTCGCAATAGGCCCGCTTGGAATCCTTGTATGTCTTGGAGTATTGGCGACTCCGAGCCAACCGGACGGAATGTGCGGGATTCACATACCGACAGTCGATCCCTCTGTTGGATGGCTCAAGATGACTTGCAGTATCATCGTCCCACCGACCCCACCGCCAGGATCTTGCGCCAAGGGAAATTCCGAGTAGATATCGTTCGTTTCTGACCGCTATCACCTGTGTATTCAGTAATGAAGCATCCACAAAAGACGCCCGACAGTCTCCGGCCAGCTCTGGAGAACACACCGCCTTCGACGTGAAAAGGAAGATCAACAAAACCGCGGAAGTCTTCAACATATGATTCCTCCCTTCTATACTCCAATCTCACCCCGCCTCTAACCTCCAGGAGAATCCTGACAGGTCACTTTGCCTTGGCTGGGAGAAGAGACTAGAGTTTAGAAATCGGTCTTTCGCTATTTTATAGTACCCTCCCTCCTGGAATGGGAGCTCAGCGCCAAAGTGATAACAATGTGGTCAAGTTCATTCGTCATATCCAGTATAAGTTTGATGTTTTATCTATTATGATGAACAGCGTAATCACGTCAAACTCTCATGATTCACGTTATTTTCCAACCTTTGATCATCTATAGTGCGGGTTTTGTTTGCTGCAAGAACATCACTCAGAAAACGTTACTGAGACTAAAGGTGCTCACTAACTGACTTTCCCATTCGTTCTTAGCTCCTATCCCCTGCTCCTATCGAGGGTGTCTTACTTTCACCTCGAACACCTATTATGTACGACCCTGCTGTTCTCTTGAACGTGCCGGTACCGCATACAACTGTTATCAGAGCAAGGCATGGGGTTCTAAGCTCCGGCCCCTTCCAACATGAGTCAGCTAGACATCGTCAGCTTCGAGACTTACAACGTATATACTTCTTCAGGTCCATATGATTATTGCTAGATATACGGTCTCAATACCAACCGTATATTGTGGGTCGAAATAAGTTGTTTCTTACCCACTTGTCAAGTCATCCTTCGCAGCAAACAAGCTGGCAAGAAGCCACTCGGGCTGCTTCAACCGGAAACCTGTCACCTATCGATGCTTGGGTGGCAGACTGCATGCTTCCCTCAAGAAAAAGACGTAAAAATTCGGTTCTTACTTCGTGGGAAGTGAATAAAAAAAGACGAGAGAAAGACTGGCAAGCCTTCCTTCATCGCTTGCTCATTTGTATTCGTGGATATGTACGTTTCAACGGCAGTAGCCATATCATAGGATGCATTGCACTATAGTCACACAAAATATCAAGCATCTCAATCTACTTGATTACTCAGGTCATGAATGAGATGCACAGCAACGTTATTGCTCCATCGTCTTGGCGTGTATGTGGTCCAAGCTAGTAGAACCATGACCTAGATAGGAAATTCGATACTAAACCAACTGCTTGCAGCATGTCAAGAGGGACGCCGTCACCATGAGTACCTACACGTCAAGAGAGAACTTGTCTTATATGACACCGCCATTGCTACGTGAGACTGAGACTGGGCTAAGCTGACAAGTCAGCCAGCCACAGCCATGGTTACCTTACGCAGACACATATCCAGAGCTGAGCCATGAACAGCGCGCCGTATTCACGAGCCAGTGGAAGCCATGGGTGCAAGCCCTGTCGCGTCTGATGCGAAACTTGCATGGACAAGCTTACGGTTGGCGGCCGACAAAGTTAAGATGGAGAGAGGCCGGCACTCTAGCGATCACGAGGTTTCCTCGCCACTCCATTGGGTTCTGCTTCTAGGTGTCGTCTGCTGTCTCCCCCGCTCAGAGTTCCGATGAAGCTGCCTTTCGCAACAAAAGATGTGTGGGGCAGAATTGGAAGCATTCCACAACCAAGAGATCTGCCAAATGCCACGGCAGTCTCGATGTGGGTGTGCGGAGTAGTGGTTGTAGGTTTGCAGGTTTTTGCTTGAACTAAGCTTTGGGCCACTTGAGACTAATAGGACAAAAGCAGCGTGTGAAGACGCTCCCGATGCTGAGATATAGGATTCCTCTGGGTCTTTAATCAGTCTAATATTGTGGAAAGTCAGGTCTCGCTGACGAGGCTTAGACGGACCCGAAAAGAATTATTTGCGACGAAAAGCTCCGCCAAAAAGCGGCAACCCGTTCGGAGATGTAGCGTCATGCATCCTTCGGGAGTGACATGCAGCCGAACGGGACCCGCTCGACGATACGATTTTTGACGGAGATAATATGATGGAGATTCTCAGCAACTCCAGAATGCAGCTATGCTTTTTTCTCTCCTTCTGCACCGAGCAGATTGAGGTCCAAGCCTTGAGGGTCGTTGAAGAAGAAGAATGGAACCAGTGAGATTGCGGATGGCAGTGAATGGGGCGAAGGAGAAGATTTTGGCGTGAATGCATGAAGCGGAGGCAGGGAAGGGCGGGATGACCGCAGGGATGGGAGGTTTGGAAAGGTGATTGGCTGCGATGAAAAGGACCCCTGTTCCTGAGACGGTAGGGGACGGGCTTGTAAGGCGGCTGTTGGGCCTGTGTAGTCGAGGCGGTCAGTCGAGGTCAGATGAGCCCATGGCCGGAGGGGTTTGCGGCCATAGGGCAAGCGGTATTACAAGGAGGCTGATGGCAAGTTCAAAGTGCGCAGGCCGTCGCGGAGTGGAAGAGTGTGTGTTTGCGAAGGACAGCCGAAGAAGCGCGCCGTTGGCTCGGGTTTCTCCTGTGTCAGGTCCGGCAGGTCTTGGTCGAGGCCTGAATCTGACCTTTGGTGGCCTCAATCCCTGCAGGATGTGGTGATGCAGCGAGGGGTTTTTGTGAGAGGGGAGGTGATGAAGCCTGTGCACCTCAGGAAGCAGATGAGCAACCTTTTGTCAGTCGGTCTAGTGTAGAGCATGGGAGGCACCCGTGATGTCCGGGTTCGCCATTTCGGTCCGTCCTGTTGCGGTTTCCCGGGTTGAGCGACGAGTTGGCTCGATGCGGATGTCATAGGCCAAGGATTGTCGCTCCAGCGTGTGATGGAAAATGACTCGGGTTGCCCCTGTCCGACAGCTGCTGGTTTTTGACAGGCCCAGAGAGGCAGAGGGGCCGATTTGCCTTGTTTTAACAGCTCAAATCCAAAGTCCGCCATCTCTACCGGTAGTGTAGGTAGAGAAAGCGACAGTATGAAACTTGAGAGACGCAAGACCGGTTGCGAGAAAACGAGGCGCCCACCATCCCAACGGCGGAATCGAGGTTGACGATCGCGTGTTCCAGGCCCTGCACGACCAATAGACTCTTGAAAAGTGTAGAACGAATCAGTGACCATTGTTGTGTTGTAGTAGTCGCGTACGGAGTAGTGTACTAGGTATTGCAATGTACTAGTAGTCTGCTCCGGCATGTTCAGTCCGAAGAAGGAAATATACCTTTGCTTACCCGTGGTTGGATGGAGGTACCTCGAGCGAAGCGGCGGGAGGAAAGATACCTTAGGGGTCCAAGTACCGGGCACAGCAGTGACAGACCTGAGAGAATGGAAGTGCGGGGCTATTTTATCTCAAGGCTCAAAGTCCGCGATTTGGCCCGACATATTGACATTTAGGATTTGGGACGGGGGCCTTGCAAGACTGCCCGTGAACCTCCAGAATCCAACGTCTGAGGGTATCCCTAATGTGATCTCAAGAAAGTCAATCATAGGAAGCTGCCAGCTATACAAGGTACGTGCGTGCAGACAGTTCCTTCGCTGAGCTACCATTTCGGGCCATGTACGTGAGAATAAGGCAAGGTGCATTGCGGTAGGCACGGTGAGAAGGCGCTACGGACCATGAGGCGTAGCATATGAAGCAGGCACCAAAATCTTAGCACGGTCCAGTAATATCAAGAGATGGGAACTCTCGACTCGAGATACCTACCTAAAGGTACCATGGAAGGTGCTGGTCATTTATCAGATAGGTTGTTTTTCTTGAAGGATGGGAAGGGGATGATGATAGGTGGTGCCTCCTGTTTTATTTTTGTCAGCCAAGGCATTCCCCGTTCACCACAGTCCAGTCCTCTAGTCCCAATCCCAGCTCTCCAGTGCCAGTCTTAGTTTTTGTTTCCGTTTTTTTTCTCCTTCCCTCCTTTGACACTCCAACCGCAGTCGCCGCAGTCGCCGCTGCACACACCTCACACACCTTACCTAGCAGACGTACCCGGGGAAAGGGCACCATCTCAGTCACTATTTATTATTTACCTCAAGGTTGGGGTACTCTGTCAGTACTTCGTCTTCGTACCTTCTTTTGAAGGAGCCCGCGCCTGAATCCCCGTCCCACGTCCACGTCCCACTCGAAAGGCCCCACGATCAAATATCCACACCCTGCACCTGGATTCCCCATTACACCTCACCAACGCTCACGCAACACACCCTCGCCTCGCCTGCCTCGCCCTCCCACCCTACCCGCCTCTCGCCGCTGAGTTCCGACTTCTTCCCGTTCACACTCTCCCATATTCACGACTTCTTCCCTTTTTCGACTGCCCTTCGTTGGAAAAGAAATTTGGCCTCAACATCCTTCACGCCAATACGACAACAACAACAATAACCTACGTTCAAGCGCAGACCGCTTCACCGTTCGAAGTCCCTTCTTCAGACGACACAGCGACAGCCCGGCCCCTAGCTCCTTCCCGAACCCCCCTCTTTCTCTGGCCGTGACGTACGATTCAAGAAACCGGTCGACGGCAAATTTTACGACTTCCCCTCCATCGGCCTTGACGAAGACGCCTCGACTTCTTCCACGGCCGCATATCAGTTCCCACCTTTCACAGGCAATTTGTGAGCGGACCAACAGCACAGTACAGAGGCGGCGTTACCAACGCTTGTCTTATCTGTTGCGAGCTGCTACGAATATACCACCCGATTGCACACCTATTGCGCCAAACTCAGCTGCAAATTCCACTCTTCTCAGCCGATCCCGAAAATGAAGGGCCGTCCCATTGACCAGCTCGTTTATGAGCACATGTTTCCCAAGCCTCGCGCGAGCGACCCTCAAAATTTCCATGCTCTCTTGCAGCGCAGCCTGATTTTGGAGGTTCGTCAAGAGGTTCACTCCTTCTACGGCCATCTCGATACTCAAGAAGCCAAGTACCCGGGCTTGGATTACTGCAACCCCATCCACCGTATTCGTCTGAGTCGTTGGACCTGGCACCGCCGCTTGTTCCGAGCGTTTGATAACCTCCATCTGACCCCTAACGAGATTGCGGGTTTGACCAAATGGGAGGGCACAAGATGGGCTAAGGAGCGCTACGAGAAGGAACAAGGCATCTCCATTAGAGATACTGCCGGCGATGGATTCCCTGACTGGATCGAGCCGGAAGATCGTCCAGCGGCCCCGGTTCGAAACCCTCGATCAAGGTCTGTGGATACAGATGATGCCACCGACCCTGGAGACGAGGACATGGACGGTGAAGAGAGTGACGAGGAACTCGAGAGCGTCGGTGTTGCTCTGAACCAGCGATTGAGAGAGAGGGCAGCACGACGAGAGGCTGGAGACATGTCTACGGTCTTGGACGAGGAATGGGAGCAGTGGCTAAAGAACGTTATTGAAAGTGGCGAGCTGCCATATCTCTCCAACGACGACATCTCACCATCGAGAGCTGATCCGGCAGCGGTTGCAGTTGTGCCGCAAGCACTCTTCCCCCCTCGCATGCTGAGCGCTGCTCGCGCTGGTCAGTGGCAAGACATACCCGACTTCCTCCACGACATTATTCGCCGTACGCTTGAGAACCAGAACTCGAGCAGTGGCGAGGAAACTGCAGCACCTCCTCGCTTGCCCTCTATTTCAAGTCGCAATGCGGCACGGGAACGCAGAGGCACTGACGAACATCACATTGGCGGAATCTCAAACTGGAGACGTACATATTCGGATTTGCGGCTCCCTGTCGGCGACAGCGCAGCTAGCCCGAATTTGCAGAGGACGGCACAGGCACCCGGGGCCTAGGAAGTTTCGGCGCCTGACGTTCCCTCTCGTGGGCATGAAACATTCGTTGACCAAATGAATGTGATAAGCGGGGAAGAGCTATCTCGAACTGTGCATGAGATTATGTTGCCCACCAGACGTCAACCAACAATAGATCGACCGATCATAAACCCGCTGACCGGCGAGTTTGATGTCGACGCTTACCATGCTTTATGGGCCAGCCCTTACCCTTCAACTTTCGTATACTCCGACCCAAGCACTTGGAGCCACATATGGAACTGGGCCCCGTTGTCGACCGGAGAAGACCCGAGACTTCCGTGATCACGGCAGCGGGTATACCGCTGGATTTCTTCGAACGCCTCGACCCGCATCTCCAGTCGAAGAGGCGATTTCTTTAGTCTGATTCAAAATTTTCAATACTAGAGTTCCTTGAGTTTTTGGGCAAAGGGAGGATCGCCCCAACAAGGCGACTACCCACTACACATCACTCGGTTATTCCCCCATACGGCGTTGGAAGGATTGCTCTTATGCTTCTGTGGGATTGCAAGGGATTGGATGAGCGAGCACAAGAAATTATGAGGAAACGAGAACTCTCTGCATTTTGAGGCCCGCTTCCAGGGAGGCCGTTTGTATCTAACTAAGAGACCTTAGTTATAAAAGTGCTAATTTTGGTGACAACCCTGCTCGATTACCTCCCTACGTGTACAACATGCCATGTCAGTAAAAGTCTCATGCTCGTGGAGATGATTCAGATGCGATTGAGGGATGCGGCTTTTTGGTAAAACATTTCAATTCAGTCGTTGGCTTGACATAGCAGCCTCGCGGCCTTTCCCGAACGCCACGACCCGACCTGACTAGAAGCACACTGCTGGTAATCTTCCGGAAAGCTCTATCTGATAGTCCCTTATCGAGTAGAGAAAAGTACAGTCGCCACCCAACGCCAACTCCTTGAAGCTTCAAACCCGCCCCAATCCGATATTTTTCTTTTCGCTGCACTTACTTCGTGACCAACCAAGCCCTACGACACACGACGCACCCTATGCGACCGCCGCCTCAACCCCCCCGAAGGATTTTCGGTAACCTTTGGGGTTTCTTGCTGCGGCGTCACATGCCTTGGATCGCCCTTCCCGGGTCTCATCGAGCCCTTCTACGGCTCGAGGTGAGACCACTCGGGTATGGCCTTGATCTGCTGCCACATGTACTTCTCCAGCTTGTTGGCGCTCTTCGCATACGGCGTAGACTCGTTATTGTACTTGCGACAGTTGTCGAAGACGAGCTTGGCATCCCTGATAAAGTCCTCCGGCGTTGCGTACTGATCTGCTTCGAGTTTGGTCTCCATCGTACTAAGATCCATGGGTTCCTTGATAACTTCGTAGTAATCGGCGACGTCGTCCTTGTTGACGGGCACGAGGAAGGGCCAGGCAGACTGGTGGTTCTGCAGGTCGTTGAGGAGGTGGAGAAGCTGGTTGTAGTTGGGACCGTGGCGGGGCTGGCGGGCGAGCTCGTCCATATCGGGCGACCAGCCTGATGCGCGGATGGCGCTGATGGTGAGCGGGTCGATTGGCTTGGCGCCAGACTTCCATTCTTTTGGCGGAGCGTGGACGATGTGCGATTTCGAATAGGCGCGGATTTTGGCCTGGACGCACTCCTTTTGCTTCAAGAGCATGCGGCCCATTTCGAGATATCGGATGCGGGGCAGCATTGAACACTGCATGATCGTACCGCCCTCATAATCCTTGATGTAACCCATCCATACGCTCTTATCCAGCGTGATCTCTTTGGTGAAACCTTGCTTTTTGAAGTATCCGATGGCATAGTTGTCAGCATACGTGAGGAAGTGCATCACGTCGCTGGTCGCCTTGACATAGTCCTTCAAGTGGGACATGAGATGCGCGCCGTATCCCTTAACCTGCTGATCAGAACTAATGGCGCAGAAGACGATTTCGGCGAACTGGCGACCTTTGAAGGGGCGGTAGGTGATGCCGCCGACGACCTCGAGGGGCTTCTTGACGATCGCGATGGACAAGTGGGTCCGGTCGTAGACGAGTCGCGCGATGTAGTCTTTCGGCATCTTGGGGAGCTGCTTTTGGAAGATGCATTTGAGGCCGGTGAGGATGATGAGGGATTCGCGCTCGTTGTCGTTGTTGACTACCCGGAACTCGATCTCGCCGGTGCGCTCTTCGATGACGGCGGGCTGTCGCAAATCATGGTCAGCTTCGGCGGGTCTAGGTGGACGACGCGCATGGAGAGCGCGTAGCGGGCATCAACTGTGCGATGGTCGCGACGCAGTTTGAGGAGTAGAGCTCACCTTTTCGGGGAAGGGGATGGGCTTCATTGCCGGCTTCTTTTCTGGTTCGGCCGACTCATTGTGCTTGACCCGTTTATTCGCGATCGGGGAGGACGGCTCCTCCTCAGCCTTGCGCTTCGTGGCTGTGACGCGATATTAGCGCGTGCCTAAGGTCATATGTTGAATCAGCGACCATGCGACTTACTCTCTTCCTTCATTTTGACCTCGATCGCGAGCCTTCGCAGGCCTATTTCGATGAACCTTGTCGATGGATGATGTCGAGGTGGTTCCTGGATGGTTGATGACATGCCGCGCTAGGCTCTGCCGTTTCTCCGTTGCCGGATGGCGCCGAGTGGGTCGATGCACAAGGGGAAAGTGGGATTGAGCTAAGCCCTTTCTGGTTCAGGCCACAATTCACGGTGGGACCCTTTGGAGCTCAGAACACGTTTGGGGGAAGCTACAACCCGCGCTTCATGATCTCCCATTGACAGCACTCTCCGGATACATCTGGACATTCACGACTCTGTGCAAGCCTTGTTCAACGGTCCGGACCACCTTCTGCGACATCGACGCAAACGACTTAGACACGAAAGAACAATCAATTGTCTTCTCCCCGATCAGCAGATGGACTCCTCGTTGCTTGAGGTCTGGCAAGCTGCTGCTAGCACGCCGTTCCAACCCGCCGTCGCCAAGGATTCCCAATTCTTCATTGCGTTCCTTCTTCTCCTCATTGGTGTTGGTATCACTGGTTTCTTCGCTCTGAGTAAGCTTTGTTCGAGCACCTTCGTTCGAAACTCATCGCCTAATATCGCAATGCAGACCGTTCCTTCATCAACATCACAGCGCTTGGCGTGCCTGCCTCAGCTGCAATTGCGTAAGCCAGACGGCCTTCATTTCCCAGTCGAGGTCCTGTACTAATATCGTACTTAGATTCGGCACGGTATACATGTTCTGCGCGGTCGGAGTCTACGTCTAAGATACCCCAAGAAGCTTTTCGAGTCGGCGGCGACCTTGTACTTTAGAAAACAACCAAGAACTTCCATTTCACCAATCTCTCCATATCGGGTGACTTTCAAATACACAGCTCTGCAGCGCCAGTAGAAGTCATGTCGGCTGCTCTTCCCCAACCCAGTGCGGTACCGCAGCCGCTGTTCCGCGCTGTGGCCAGCTCGGCGAGACCGCTCTACCAGTTGCTGAGGACCATCAGCTTCTCCAACAAGGTCCATGTTCAACTCCAGGAAGATGGCATCAGGTTTGCTGCCGATCTGTCTAGGGTTATGCAAGGCAAGTTTGGCGACCGGTATTTGTAGTGGACAGGATGACTGACAATCGTCTAGGTACTGCCTTCCTCGACAAGAAACTATTTACGTCCTACTCTCTGAATCTTGCGGAGGACGAGCCATTGCCCAACTTTCAAATCACACTCCCAGCACTTCTCGAGACGCTTCAGATTTTCGGCGCCGTGGACATTGCGACGCGCACGCAAAAGGCCGAGCAGGACCCGTACCGCAGTAATCTCCGCAATTACCGACCAGATGCGTTTAGTAACCAGACTCTGGGAATTGGCGGGACTTGTAGCCTGGTATATACCGAAGAGGGCGGCCAATTCAACATTATCATCGAGGAGAGCGGGGTCAAGACTACCGCTAGCCTCACAACCTATCTGCCGGAAATCCCAGAGGAGATACCCTTTGACCGGGAAAACCTGTCTTTCAAAATCATTATGCAGGCACGCTACCTTCTTGACGCCTTGGCCGAGCTTGCACCCACCGGCCCCAGCCGCCTAACCATATCAGCCTCGAAGAATCAACCCTACCTTTCCCTTTCCGGTGCTGGCGACCTGGGGTCGTCCAGCGTGGACTTCGCCAAAGGCCGCGAGCTACTGGAGACCTTTTCGATCCAGGATCGATGGACCCAGACCTACAAATTCGATCTGATCAAGTCTTCGAGCGAGGCGATGCGGATTGCTAGCAAAATTAGCTTCCGCGGGGATGCCCAAGGCGTTCTGAGTTTGCAATTCATGGTCGAGGTGGAGGGCGGCGGGGTCAGCTTCTTGGACTTTCGATTTGTGCCATTCATCACGCACGAGGACGACGAGGACGAAGAGGGACAGGATGAGGATGAGTAATTCAAGGCAACGGGGTCCCCCAATGCCCTAGCGCATAGATGAATGATAATGGAATTTTCCCAGGGTTACCGGTATCGCAACGGGTTCGAGTTTTTCGTTGCTATCTCTGGCTTTTCGCATACCTTCCGCTTGCGTCAACTTTGACAATAGGCCGTGCTGCATTCCCGAAGCTAGGGCGAACAATGTGTAGCGCTAGCCTTTCCTTGAAGAATTTGGCTCCCAGTCCGCATATACGCCATGTGCGCCTCCCTTGAGAATGACAGCCCGGCTGTTGACCCACGGTCTTCACGCCGGTCTGCTGCCAACAGCATCGATCGCGGGAGCCTTGTGGCTTTTGCCTTTGGTAGAGGCCTGTCCTGCGGGATGTGATGGCTCTTGAGAGAACATGACGCGCTTGGTGTGAACGTCCATTCCTCTCGCAGCATTCCAGCCATCGGCCAAGCCACCGTGGAGCCGGACAGCGAGAACTGGCAAGCCTGTTCCCAGCAGGCCGGGGCTTACACAATGGGCCGGCCGAGGCAGAAATGTAGCCGTGAGGAATTTGTTCGGAAACAGCAAGGGCGTTGACGGGGCGTTGCGACGGACTTGTTGATGTCTCAGTCGGGCTGAGGTATGCGCAGAGGCTGCGCGGACTGCGCGGGGGCATGCGTGGGCATGTTGGCTGGAATCTTTGTCGTTCCTGATCCCATCATGGGCATTGTCAGTCAGCGTGCGTGTGTGTGTTGACAGTGGCCACATTTTTTGCCCATGTCGCCCTCCCCGCTCTCTCTCTTCCCACCCGGTAGATATATCTCTCGTCCGCTTGCGGAAGCATCCTGCTCCGCTTCTGCCTTTTGCGGACGTACCATCGTGAACCGGTCCTGAACTAAATATCCTATCCTTCGACTTGTGGTGGTTGTAGCTCCATCTTATTTTTCCCTACAGCACTTTTCTCAACTTTCCTTTGAACGCCTCTCGAAAATCCCACCATCCTTTCGGCTTCGATCTATCCCGTCCATCTGACAATTCGATCCTCCCGCGTGGCTGCTCTTTTGTTCGCCATCACCAATCTCAGACTCATCTCTTTGCTCTCGTGTCTTTAAAACATCGTGGTCCAACCCGCCCATCCATCCCGCTTTCCGTTCTCAGCAGCACAACGCTCTCAACGCCTTTTCCAACAATCACAAAACTCAAACAATAGTCCTTGTTGACTACATTCTCCCAGACTCCCTTCAATGAACACCCCTGGATCCTTCGGAATCGTCGATTACTCATTCCCAATGTGGTCCAAGAAGCACGTCGGCTCCTGGCTCGATGCCTTCAAGCCCGGTCGCCGCTCCTCCACCTCTTCTTCCTCTACTGCCTCTTCGTCGGCCCCGTCTTCGCCTCGGTCTGCCACCTTCTCCCTGTCCTCGCGCTTGGGCTCCAACAGCCGGAGCGGCTCCTTGGCCTCTTTGACGTCGATGGGCACCATGGAGGAGCAAGAGTCACTCATGGGTGACCAGCCGAAGCAGGCCGCTTACGTGCCCCGCCACGCGGCCAAGTCGTTCATGAAGACGACTACCTCCAAGGAGATCCGCAAGCAAAGCGAGATTATGTGAAGAATCACCGATCTCGGATGACCGATCATGCAAACAACAAAAATTACAAAAATACAACATTCGATACCCGGAAAGTTACCATTCTTGGACTCGGCCTCCTCCAGGAGGCCCCATGTCGTCAGACTACGACGTTCCAAAGAGTCCATCAAGATGGTAGACTATACCAGCTCACTACCATATTCTTCCCTTGAGTCAAATAACATTATTTACCCGATCATTCCTATTTCGAATGATTATCGACGCACTCGTATGCAGTCATTATCAACGGCGCTTGCTCGCCTTTTGCCACTTGGCAAGGATAGAAAGTTTGGGCGGTTGGAAGACGTCCAGGAATAGGCCACGAATTGAGCCTATATTCTTTTTTGTAGAAGGAATCATCATCTACTAGATAAAAAAGGCCAACACAAGGGCCGTAGAGTCGGGATGAGGTTAGAAGGATGAGATGCTAGCGACGCGACATCGCGCAACTAATAGCAAGATTTGGACTCGGCAGCCCGAGCCAATCAGATTAATACCCAACACCTTTCACATCAAAACCTCCCAACGTGACTCTCTTTTCCCGTGCTGACACACCGCCCGTATATGCTCGTAACTCAACTGAAGAGCCAGATTTGGCAGCGGCTCGCGAATCCGACGCTGACCGGCCGAAAGAGACGAGGGTCTAGTTGCAATCGTACCTTAAATTGGCATTTGGCAAGGCAGGCAGGCCCTCTCTCTGCCGCCACTGACGGACCTCATCGTGCCTTTGCGCACGTCGATCTGTAATACTGTACGTCCGTATGCAGTCTCCACCCTTAAGAATCATTATATTACTTCCATTGCGGACCTTTTCTCGGCAGGATCGGATCTAGGAGGTAAACCCAAAGACTAGAGAGTGTCCTGAGCTGCTGAGGAGAATCGAATGATGCCAAGTTGGGGCTTTGTGCGTGTTTACGTCCGTACGGGCTCCACGGGCCACACGCACTGAACAGCAGGAGCACCATGGGAAATCCATGGAAAATACGGACGGGACGGCAGACGATAGATATGGGGTTTATCAGCCAGGGTGGAGGACATGGGGCCAGAAATCACCGAGGCCGACAGCTTTTCTACATGAAATAGAAAAAGACTCGAAAGGAAAAAGCAAGCCTGCCTCAGGGAAGCTGGAGAGAACGAACCACGATGTCTCAGCTCCCATTGTAAGTGTAATGCGAACCGCCAACCTCGAGGGGCATTCAATATAACGCGGGCGGGCGGATGGCAGGGGGTTTAGAAGGACAGGGGTTTTTTTTTTTGGTAGCAGGAGGGCAGAAGCTGCCGGCTCAAGGTGCCATTCGTGAGGTCGGAAATAGAACGGCTAGCCTTCTAAGGCTGTCTTGTCTTGGCCTTGGCCTGGTAGAGCTTAGGTGTATTACTCGCTTCCTGACTCTCAACGGTCTTTAGGCAAGGTCAACCAAGGCCTGTTTTCCCAGAAAAGAAGTCAAAAATGAAGAATCGAGCAGAGTTGTTGGAGGGTTGAAGTTGTGCGGCAATCGCGCCTGGGGCGAAACAGCAGAGATCAAGTGAGGCAAGGTTTGTTCAGTGGTCTTGAAAAGTGCAGAAGAAAAGAGCAAACGTTTTCTTTGTTTGAATGCGGTGGTGCTGGTTGGCAGACGAGAGTGGAAATGGGCAGTTGGCTCGCCTGATTCTTCTCAGAACAGCCAGGTTTTCCAACGACAGCTTGAAGGATCCAAGACCAACGGCAGCCCTCCGCAGCCGCCGCGGCCCCCAGACTGAATGGCTAGTTCAGGGCACAAATATGAGATCTTGCAAGGGCCAGGAAGGTTAATGGTGTCTCTGGTGTTTGTGTTGCGCGTGGGTGTTGGCCGGCATGTCAGGGACCAGAAAAAGAGAAAGAGAGAGAGAGCAGGGCGCCCTGGCAAGTTCAACTCAGTTTAGATGTCAGCTGGCGGGCAACTGTGGGGGCAATCTACCTTATGAGCGGCCGCTAAGAGCCCATGCCCAACTTATTCGCAACGCAACTGAACCTTGGTTAGGTGGTTGGCAACCGCACAACTTAGCCACCACAAATCAGCTGGACTGGCTACTGGACGGTAACGAACACGAACCCTTTGCTTCTTCATCACCGCCTTGGCCGACGAGCCAGCCAACCAACATCGGCATGCCATGTACGATGGACGTCACCGGTTGATATTCTGCTTGCCCGTTTACGGCCGCCGGGAGAGAGGATGGCGAAAGACTAAGAGAAGCAGTCTTCAGCCCCCCCCCCCCCCCTTCGTCAGCTTGGCCACGCCCGCTTGGCCTGTCTGACTAACAAACGGTGGATGAGAAGACTCTGCAGACTCGGGGACATCCACAAAGCCCATTTCAGCCTGTGATGGGTGAAGATTCTCTTCCTGTCCTCGAACGCATGCTGTTTCCTGAAACAACCCACCCCTCAATACTCATCCATTCCCACATCGCGTCAGCGGGAATACGCAGGAGAACGTGGCCTGGAGGCCAACGTCTCCATCTTCCAAGTTCCGCGTCGTATCCCCCGGCAGTATCGATTCGCGTCCTACCCCTCGTTCGGTACTAGAGGCTCTGCATCTTCTCGGCGTGCGTCCGGTGGACGCGGATAATGCCGAATGATTGACACTGGCGAGCCTGGGGATTGCCTTGCCCCGTCAGTTCCCTACCTGGAATCTGGATTGTTCGGGTTCAGGGCCCCTCGATGAGGGACTGATTTCCTGCAGCTTGTCCTAGAGGGCTGCGCTGCCCACACCAACCTGGAAGATACGGGAATAGTCACTCGTTGGAAGCAGCGAGTCGCTGCTGTCTCAACTGCGGCCAAGCAAGTGCTTACCGGTCGCCGGTCGGTGAGAGTGAGGTGAGACTCGGCACTTGAGGGCATCCATCTGGAAGATCGTCATCGGTCAGCGGTTCGCTGGCAACCACCGACTTTTCATTCTCGAGATTGCGGCATGGCCGGTCAATCCTAGCTACCCCAGGCGAGCAGGGCACGGCCCGGTTCCATGGCTTTCCTGGGAGCGAGCTGTTACCGTTTCGACATTTTCCGCTGGCAATATGTTGTGCTCTCTGGGCACCAGCCGTCGTTTTCCTTGTCAGGACGTTGAACAGCTTGCTATTTCTCCTGCTTTCGTTACTTTCGAGCTTTCGCAAAACCCTCGGTCGTGGCTGGCAAGTAGGTGCCAGGGTTACGGGCCGGATTACATCCAACTGGTTGCTCCTCTCTGCACGTCGCCGCCCGCGTCGTCGTACGGCGAGGACTTCTATCGAGTTGCATCTCGCTCTAGAATGCAGCTGACCGATGGTTTGTCGTTTAGTACGACGACCAGCGCCAATAGTAAGATGGAGCGAATCCTGCTGAATCCCGCGCTCTGTGCCGGCCACGATGTTCCATATTGTCTCGATGGCTTCGCTGTCAATCACTTCATAAGGCTGACTGCACGATGCTCGATGGGACTGGAGAGGGAAACATGGAAGACGAGATTGAAGAGGGCGACAAGGTGTTCCAAACATAACAGCAAAGCAATATGGATTCATTTGTTCGCAACAATCACATATCTCACGCTGGAAAGGCCGGCGATGAACAGATGCGATGCCACCCTCCTTCTGGGGCCGCCTACCACCCCAAGATCCCTCCGGAGAAGTCTCCCGCCCCCCCTCGAGAAGAATTGTACTTTTGAAAGTCACAAAAGCCAGTAATAGCAACCCACAGACATAACCAATGGCTGAATACCAAAATAACGGGAGCCGGGCAGCGAGCAACCCCCGGCCGGACTGACAAGACACGACTCTGCAGCCTCCGCTCTCACGCAGTTTGCCTGCACGACCAGACAGGGGCCAGGTTGGCTTTTTGCACCGCCGCAACATGCATACACAGCACCGCACCGCACCACACACACACACGACCACTTCCATTACCACCCTCCACCTGTCATTGTCCATGGGTAAGTAGATCTGCCCATCCCAAGCTGATAGTCTCCCTGACTAACACCCCCAATCCGACCATGATAGGTACTGTATTGGGTACGGGCACAATCATCAGCTGGTCCAAGATGGCCCCGACTCGCTTGCTTTTGTT